AACTTGCAAAGTTTGGTTGCGAAATGTTGTAAAATGCGGAAAACATAGCCTTGCAAAGTTCGCAAATTTTGTATACTTTTGTATTGCGTGCGGAAATTGCTACCACATTTGGGCCGAAAATGGTAGCAATTTCCGCACGCAATACAAAAGTATACAAAATTTACAAACTTTGCAAGGCTATATTTTCCGCATTTTACAACATTTCGCAACCAAACTTTGCAATTTTACTCATTTTAGTATGTTCTTTCTAGCTGTGGTGATTTATTTGCATCTCCTTGCCTATATTTTGAAAATTAGTCTATAATGGGAATTGTCTATATTTACTGAGTACCACCATAGAATAAAGATCCATATAGAAGGGCCACTCAGGGGTGCAACGTGTCCTCGTTTTTTTTATGCAAAAATATGCAGTTTACTGGCCAGAAGGCGGAGCAGCCAGCCAGTACAGCGTGTTTATTGGCCAGAAAATGTCATTGACTGGCTAGGAAAATGGCGGCCAACATGCGTAATGCGACATGCGCGAGGACAGAAACTTCAAAGCTTCCGACGTAAGTGGCCCTTCTATATGGATCTTTATTCTATGGTACCACTTCTCGTGAATTGAAATTACACAAGCCAACAATATACTTCCTACATTTATAAGTTTAATATCAGACATCTCGTTTTAAGATGCAATGAACGATCCGGACTGATAGGGATAAAACTACCCAATGTCGCTCATTTATGTGGAAAATATGCTTGAAAGTGAAGAAACGAAATATTTAAATGAAGGTATTTGTCATTTTTTATTGTTTTTTTTATAGGTTCCATAATTGTTGCTACAATTCTTGCTGCCATTTTTTGTGTGGTCTCTCTTCTTCGTTTCATGGAGAATCATAAGTATGTCAAAATTCGTATATTTTCCTTGATATCCTTTTTAACTGCACGCTGTCTTTTTCTCGACACATTTTCCAAGAAGTGCTATCACAGAATGCAGACGTCACAGAAGGCCGACTTCTTGGTTTGCCTATGAATTTGGAGTAACCGTTGCAATGCCGTCGCCCTGTTCCTAGCCAGTGCGCTTATGAGAGGCATTCACCCTCCTGAAAATATTCAAAATGGCAGACATCAGGGGGTGATTGCCTCTCATGAATGCAGTGGCTAGGAACATGACGAGTGCGGTTAGGCTTTTCTGGCTGAGTTGGCTTTCTGTATGGTCTGTATTCTGTGGTATTATCTTCAGAAGTGAGAATGGAACGTTTCTACAATAACCCCAAAATTTTAAATTTTGGATATTTTATGAAATTATTTGACATTCAAAAACGGACATTTTGTTCAATTTGATTTTGCGTGATCATATCTGACGAAGCTGTTTGAAATTCACTAAAGTTGAGCTTGAACAATTCATTTTGACATTGTACTGATTTCTAGCGCTTTCTTTTCAGTGTTTAGTGTTTGAATTAGCTGATACATGGCCTTGAATGTCCTTGAAAAGTTCGACTTGACTTGGCTCTCACTAATATGCAACGAACCCTGCATTAGTTTTGACTTTTGACAGTCGTAAATTTGTACTTCATGCGTCATTCAAACGAATATATTCCGGTTTCCTCTGCAGGAATTACATGCTAAGGATGTTCAAAGGAGATAAGTTATTTATACCAAAAAAAATCAGTGCATCACAGTTTATGATTGTAAGTTGAACGAAATACATTGACATTCCTGTTTTGAACGTGATATAGGAAGTTAAAATAGAAAAATTTACTAACCGCTTGAAAGAGCATCTCAAAATTATTAGGTATATATACAAAGTTCGTTTCTTTTTGTTAGGGGAAAGGTCTGAGATATCCTAGTTATCAGATTGGCTACTTTTTGTGGGGTAAGTCTTCCTTAGGGAATGGTCATTATGACAGGGGTTGGCACCGAAGAGAAATGTTTTCCTTGGTACAAATGTTGCTGATCCAACCATTAAATAGTAAAAAAAATTACCCAACATGGCAGTATACCCCCAAAAAACTTTTTTCATATTTTTTAATTATACACGTTTCCACAATAAATTACAAACATTAATTACAAGAGTTACAAGTTGAAATACTATAAGGAGAAGTTAATATAAAGGTGTTGATCGTGCGCAGTGGCCAAAGTAGCTGCATGCTTTCGAGTTGGTCACTGCCTACGTTTAATTACTATTTAAAATTAGGACGGTAGGTAATTAGATAGATAATTAAGTCTCCACATAAGAAAGAATTACTGATCTATTTATACTTGTGTTTGTGAAATGAGCGAAGATTGACTATATGTTTTCTTAAATAAATAAATTGATTTAGATTGTTTAATTTTATTATCGATGGTCTCCCAGATTTTTGATGAAGTAAATAAAAATGTTTGAGTTCCCATGAGTATCTCTGTACAGTAGCTCAGTTGGTCAGAGTGCTGTACCGAAATTGCAGGGCCGCAGGTTCGATTACAGTTGATTTCACGAAACTTTGGCCGCGCCAGTTGCGAGGTTGGTAGGGAATTTGGGAACTATAAACACGAGATCATCAAGTTGATTGGAAACCGGCCAATCAAATTCGGAAGTTTCGCATCAAATTATCGAAATTCGTTATGAAATTCCGAACCAAGTTCGCAAATTGCAAACGATTTTGACGGTAAATTTTAAAAACTAAACTTATTGTATTAAACTTATTATAATTTTAAACCTGAAATTATTATTATTATGATATTATTTATTATTAAATGAATAAGTTTAATACAATAAGACTTAGTTTAGTTTTTAAAATTTACCATCAAAATCGTTTGCAATTTGCGAACTTGCTTGCGAACTTGGTTCGGAATTTCATAACGAATTTCGATAATTTGATGCGAAACTTCCGAATTTGATTGGCCAGTTTCCAATCAACTTGATGATCTCGTGTTTATAGTTCCCAAATTCCCAACCAACCTCGCAACTGGCGCGGCCAAAGTTTCGTGAAATCAACTGTAATTCCTGCCAGGGACCTATGGTTCCTGTTTAGGTCTAATAAATATATATATATATATAAATTTACACTCGATAATTTTTATCTACAAGACCCTTCAACACTTTTACTATACCCTTGTTTTCATTCTAGGGTACTTTTTGCTCCTCTTGCTGTTCTTTGTTATCTGTTGTGGTCTTTACGCCTTGATTACATACAAAATCATTCAAGATTATGTCGTGAAATTCATTAAAGGAGGAGGGTAGGTGAATCTGTATGTATGATAAGCATTATACTGTCTACAACATTTTGATTGAAAAACGGCAGAACATTAAAAAGTCTAAAATCAGTGGTCTTTTCAAAAGTCCCAAATCATTATTAGAATCTCAAATAATGAGAATTATTAGAATCTCAAATAATGAGACTTATTAGAACTGAAATAATGAGAATTATTAGAATCTCAAATAATGAGAATTATTCGAATCTCAAATAATGAGAATTATTAGAATCTCAATTAATAATGAGAATTATTATACATTTAATATGTATTCTCGTTTCTAATTGGTCAGAAAGCACCGGCTAATTTTCAGTATTCGGCATTTATTACGTATTTTTCGCCGATGACGTCATCAGCGTCCAATAATTGTTTTTTTGGATCGAACTTGCATCCAAAAAAAAAATTATTGGACTCTCTCGTGCCCAAACCCTTGCGCGGCCAAAAGCTTGAACCTATAAGCGCGCGAAAAAAACAAACAAACAATGGCCTACAGCAGATTTGCTTCGCTGAATGAAAGTGAACTCTCCGAATTATTGGCAGATAAGGATAGTGAAAGCACGAAAAAAGCCACAAAGGGGTAAATAGAAGTAGAAATAGAATATTTAGCTGACCTTTGACTTTGTGCAAGGTGTTTGGTATTCAAATTGTACTTTTCCTACCTCATGAACAGGAAGCGTTTTATACGTTTCTCATGTCTTTAAATGTATAATAAAACAATTATTGGATTCGGCTTTCGCATGATATCAAGAATTATTCAGACCTCGGTCTATGTTATCCGCCTCAGCTTCGCTTCGGCAGATAACATTGACCTCGGTCTGAATAATTCTTGATATCATGCTCAGCCTCATCCAATAATTGCTTATTATTAGAATCTCAACTAATGAAAGTTATTGGAACTCAAATAATGAGAATTACTAGAATTTCAAATAATGAGAATTATTGAAAATGTAATCCCACATGAAAATGAGGCCATATTGGGCAAAGTGCAATAAACGGTATAGTCTATTATGTTAAGAAGTCGTTCTACTCCTGAAAGCCATCCCATATGTTCAATATTTTAGTGTTGTTGCTGGTGTGGCTGTTTTGTCTGGTTTATCATTGCCATTAGCTTCATTCACGGTATTCCGAGATTACACTTACTCTAAAGACATCATATCTGTAAATAACAGGTTTGTGTCTACTTCACGAATTAAAATTGAGTAGAAATTTATATTCCAATATCTCTAGTTTGTACCATTGTTTGTACATTATCAGGCTTTTGAACGATGTGTTGTTATGTTTAACAAATATAAAACATTTTCCGTGTTGATATACAGTTATATCAACACGAGTGGAATTGGGAAAACGAGAAATTGTATGGAAACACGACGCCCGAAGGGCGGAGTGTTTTCATACAATTTCGAGTTTTCCCAACTTCCACGAGTGTTGATATAACTATATATCAATACGGAAAAAATGTTTTATATTTTACTTATAATATAGCAATGTCAAAAGCCCGAAGGATAGGAAAAATTTCCGTGTTTACAAGCGGCGGAAAATTTCCCGTGTTGACATTGAGTTATATCAACACGGCTCTTAGCCAATCAGCGTTCAGAATTTACAAATGCTATATTATGAATTCATATTGTAACCAACCTTTTTTATACGAGATATCTCCATTTCTCTTTCGAGTCCGTTGACCTCGTCAGATCTTGTTGACAAGCTGCGAGAATGTTACGCGTTGCTACACACACAGAAATCCCACATCTTGTAGCAAGTCTGCCAACAAGTTGTCAACAAGTTGTGTTCGCACTGGTTGTCCCAAGTTGTCAACAAGTTTGGAACAACTTGTAACAACCTTATCGATATTATCAGACTTGTTGTAAGGTTGTTCCAACTGAACAAGTCCGATACAGCCATGATATAACAGTATTGTAACAACCTTGTGTCGTCAACCTTGTAACATTCTTGTTACACCATGACTGTATCAGACTTGTCAGAGCAACCTTGTTACAAGTCTGATAATGCCATTAAGCTTGTTACAAGTTGTTAACAGCTTGTTCCAAACTTGTTACAACAACTGGGAACAAGCAATGCGAACACAACTTGTCGACCGCTTGTGAACAGATTTGTAACAACTTGTTTGCAGACCTATAACAACTTGTGCGTGTGTGACTGAATCAAAATTATAATCAGCATAGTGCACTTCTTGATTACACACTTCGTAACACTTCGCAGACGAGGGATCCAGTACTCCTTTCTGATTTCTGTCATAACAAGTCCCACTCCCCCATGCAAAGTTCGCACATGAGCATCCATCACCAGCTTTTCTGTAAGTGTTGACTTGAAACACTGCATGTGAACATTCTTGATTTTCCCTCCAGAAATGTATACATGGTGTTCTCGTATTTCTGGTTTTTCGTTGGACTTCCCATGGGTTTCTTCTCCGCCATATCTCGGATCTTGAAGGCAATGGTCGTGGGTGCTCTGATGTTGCCAAGAATTGATCATAGTGTCATGCCCGATGGCTTTCAACAGATTGATCAAGGTAATCCAATAGACATAAATGGTATAAACTACTGTAAGTCAAAAACAATGTGTGATTAGATGACATGGAGAACAGCAGGTTTCATCAGTGCTAATAAAAATATTGGCACTGATGAAGGACTGATTTGCATACAGTACCCAAAACACAAGATGGATCCAAGCTATAACGTTTCTTTTTAATTTTTTTTCCAGGTTTCAATGCGTACATTTGTTATCTTCACGTACAAACAGCTTATAGAAACCCAATTCTTCGTGTTTTCTGTCAAATGTTGAGCGATCAAACTCGTAAGTGCTTATCACGTCCTCTATTGAAGCCATGAGAAAAGTAGTAGTTGAGACTACAGTAGGTCTGGATAGAGTATCCTTATGAATTGAATCAACCAAGTTTAAAGCCAGAATATTTATGAGATGTTCACTGATCAAAAATATTTATTTTTGAGGTTAAAGTCTGTCAAAATCTTTGCAAATCGCATTGCGACGTATTAGAATTAGCTACATTATCAAGCAAATGTCTTCCCTTATGCAACTTGAAAGATATAGCTTCCCGTATTTATGAGATGAGAGTTTAAAGTCTGTCAAAATCTCTGTAAATCACATCGCGTTAAAATAGACCTTTATAAAAAGGTTGACGTCAGCAGGATTGTGACGTAGTTTGCGGAGAAAATCTCGAAAGCTCAGAGTTGTTTACTTGTTTTGAGATTTTTTAAAAGCCAAAAACCCCAGTATTATGGTAGGTTTGAAGCAAATTTTTCTATATATAGGCCAAATGAGTTTTCATATTCGTCGTAGTTTAAATTTTATTTGTTTTTATATTAGATTGTACATTATTTTACTGTCAACATTTAGCGAATTGTTCGCTCGGTTTGTTTACATATTTCGTTGCTAAAAAGTATAATTTTTCTTTTTGTTTCTCAAATTCATCAGTCTGATCATCAGAATGGCCCCAATGAAGCTGTAGACAGCAATACACAGGCTTAGTGATCGTGCAAAGAGGTACATAAGTGAAGTTAGACTCTGAGTACTTCTTGTACACAATGACTCGTAAGACTGATAAGTCTATTAGTAGTAATAATATAGAGGCCGTTCGGGCATTATTTTTGAGGAGGAGTGAGATGGAGTGAGATGGAGTAAGGAGGAGGAGTGAGGAGGAGGAGTGAGGAGGAGTAATGACGTCACTCATTAACATACGTCATAATTATATGCAATGACGTCACGCGGGCAGGTTTAAACAAGGACGTATGAAACTTGCTGACTACGCATTTTTAATCTTGGTTTGCTATGAATAGCTCGAGTCCCTCACAAGGCAGAATTGTGATCGAAATTAATATATAACACAGTTATAGTCGTATCTTTGCTCGGAAGCGATAAATTTCCACGAGTATATTAAAGGATTTTTCGTATGTTCCATAGAAAAATCAAGACATATTTTAAACAGAACTAAACAGTTGCTTATCCCGGGTTGTCAACGTCGTTGTTAAGGTCAATATTATTAATATATAGCAGAGTTATAGCCGTATCTTTGCTCGGAAGCGATAAATTTCCACGAGTATATTGAAGGATTTTTCGTATGTTCCATAGCGAGGAATCTATTCGTTGCAAAAATCAAGACATATTTTAAACAGAACTAAGCAGTTGCTAATCCCGGGTTGCCAGCGTCGTTGTTAAGGTCAATATTTGCATGTTGTTCAACGTTATTTAGCAAGTCTTCTGCATACATGTATACTGTTAAGATGACCGAGTCAGATCATAAGTAAGCTTATGAAGAATATAAGTTAGAATTGGAACAGTTGTAATATATATTTGCGATAAAAACATGTACTCGTTATATACGTTGTTATGTGTTGCTAAGTCATTAGGAGGTGTAGGTAATTACGGCAATACGAATTTGCATGACTAAGTGTATCCCAATGGATAGATAGGGATTATTTATAACGCAGGTGTATACCTTAAAATCGGGCGCGATGCTTTGTGGGCAAAAATTTACACAAGAATTTCGATTTAAGACACATTTATTTGTTTAAGTACTACAAAGTTAATAATTCTTGTCTGTATAAATATAATATTATCCACTTAAGGGGGTCTTCCACCCTAAAAACATTTTTTTCAATTTAAAGGTTTTATCATATTTGAGTCAAATATGATGGAATATCCTCAGCTGACGCAGGATCAGTAACTTTACATTCGTCGTTGCCATAGTAACTAAGATAGGCCTCGCTATAGGGTAAAATATAGGGTTTGCTCCAAAAATGATGTGAGCCAAACTAATTTACCGAGGATTTTAGAAACAGCTTTAATGGACACTTAATACATCGATCTATGTCATGAACCTAAAAACTGATATACAAGTAATATAATAGGGCTTTCGTCAACCTCGTTCCCAGGCTATGGGCTTTCGTATTTTACTTTTTTAAAATTATATGAAGAAAAGAGTTCTTATAAGGCTACTCTTTCTTGCAATGTATATTGCTGATATATGAAGTTTTTTAGGTCCATGACATGGCTATGTAACAGGCAAATAAACTCTGAAAATTTCGAACGAATTGATTCAGTATGAACAGTAGGAGAGTTTTTAGTATTTCGCAAAATGCCCATGTGAGAAAAGCGATTTTAAAGTTTTTGCATATATTGGAATAACTTAGATAGAACAATATAATTGAAAATGTAACAATAGACTAAACCAATCGCATATCTTTATCGCTCCGGGTAAAATCGTGGTTTTACCCTACGAAGGTGTAGAATTTGCTGGATTTCTTTGATTCACGGTACATTTTCGTTCTTAAAATTACACGGATTTTATAAAGAACGCTATAAAGACTACATTTTTACGTTTTTCTAAAAAAATAACGAATATTGGAAAATTTGGGTGGAAGACCACCTTAAGAGTTGTGTTTCGCTTTTGTTTCTAACTTTAACCAATCCATTGAGCCATCATTCATTTCTGTATTGTCCACATTCTTTGCAGATTTTGTACTTGATTTTGTTCTTTTCCTGGAGGATTTTGGTTGAAGAATGGGTATATTTTTTATCCTGCTTTTATTCCACTTTGACTGCTTTTTATTGTTCCCAATTAATCTGTACAATTCTGTTAAAACGTTTTCTAAGTTTAAAGCTGTTGGCTTAGCACGAATAAGATAAGGTTGTCTTTCTTGGGACGAAAGTTCATGGACGTCTGCCAAATGGTTTGCCAATCTTTTTAAAGCTCGCTTGCCGCAGATGGGACAATCTTTACACTTCCGAGGCATAATGTCAAATGATAAATGTCAACTGATTCCTAACATTAAATAGTTGTGGCCCTAAAGGCCGAAGGTTTGCTGGGACTTGGGAAAGGGTTAGAGAAATGGGTTAGGGTAAAATAGCTACCGCACAGGATCGATCTTATTTTACTTTTATAAATCAAACACAAACAACCACTAGTATCTTCTACATTATCAGAATCACTCTCTGACGCAGAATCAGTTTCCACTTCGTTGTCAGTGTTATACGAATTCTCAACATCACTCTCTGATGTAGCACTATCAGAGTCTGCAACCGTTCTCATTCTTTTCATCTTTACACTGAAATCTGTATTTCCTTCGTATATAGTTAGGTTTGAAACAACTCCAACCACAACCAACCGGCGAATGATCAATTTTTTGAACAACATCACATTTTATGAAGTGGCCCCAAGGGCCTTTTCTACGGCCTTGTGTCCCGATTGGTGATTGGCTGGGACACTTCCCATCAAACCGCCCCACCAATAGGATTCTAGAGAATAAAAGGCCATAAAAAAGGCCCTTGGGGCCACTTCATAAAATGTGAAATTGTTCAAAAAAATTGATCATTCGCCGGTTGGTTGTGGTCGGAGTTGTTTCAACCTAACTATATACGAAGGAAATACAGTACTGCTGGAAACCTACTACAGATTTCAGTGTAAAGATGAAAAGAATGAGAACGGTTGCAGACTCTGATAGTGCTACATCGTAGAGTGATGTTGACAATTCGTATAACACTGACAACGAAGTGGAAACTGATTCTGCGTCAGAGAGTGATTCTGATAGTATAGATGATACTAGTAGTGAAGTAGGTGATGAATACGAAAGCGATCCATGGGCTCCTTTAAAAGCTGAAGCAACCCAACAAAATTTATCGGAATTCGAAGAACTAACGCAGAATTTCACTGCAGAAGGTTTTGACGAAAACGAAGCTAAAGACAAGGCATATTTACTTATCGTACCAAAACTTCGTAAAGATTTGCAGAATGTTTATTTGGAACGTCTACTATGGATAAGACAACTAACGAGAGATCCAATACACAAAAAGATTATGGAAACCAGGGATGTCTTGGTCAACGATGATAATTTCGACCACCGGGAAGCGTTAGAGGCCGCTATTGACAAGAGAAAATTTCTTTTGAAAAGACTTTGCAGAAACACACGGTATCCTAGTGACATTGACTCTTAATGGTTGTTTGTGTTTGATTTATAAAAGTAAAATCAGATCGATCCTGTGCGGTAGCTATTTTACCCTAACCCATTTCTCTAACCCTTTCCCAAGTCCCAGCAAACCTTCGGCCTTTAGGGCCACAACTATTTAATGTTAGGAATCAGTTGACATTTATCATTTGACATTATGCCTCGGAAGTGTAAAGATTGTCCCATCTGCGGCAAGCGAGCTTTAAAAAGATTGGCAAACCATTTGGCAGACGTCCATGAACT